TCACGTCTCTTCCATACAGCTCATGAATAAGTCTCATTTATCCTTCCCGTCTCTTCTACGGATACCTTCACTTTACCACTTCTAGACAGAACTAAACGCCAGGATCACCATTGCTTAGCATTTTTTTGTGATAATTATCTCACTGTTTTACGAAGTTATCATACACTTTTATATTACTTTAATGATTCAATATGCCCTACTTCCAAGGTCTTGATCAGTGTTGTGTCAGCTGCCAAGAAAGATACTGGCATCACAAAATAATTAATATCGTCTCTGTAAGTTGATATTGTTGATATATATATATATATATATATATATATATATATATTATATATATTATATATATATATATATATATATATATATATATATATATATATATATATATATATATATATATATATATATATATATATATATATGCAAAACAACCACTGTGAAAGAGTAGTGAAATTCCAAGCGCTTTCTTGACTACTCACATTGTCAATGTGAGTAGTCATGAAAGCGCTTGGAATTTCACTACTCTTTCACAGTGGTTGTTTTGCATATTTTAAAATCACCTGTTTACTGTGATCTTATTGCATATATATATATATATATATATATATATATATATATATATATATATATATATATATATATATATATATATATATATATATATATATATATATATATATATATATATATATATATATATATATATATGATCTCTGAGTGTTCCTTATGATGTTCCCTATAATGTTCCTTATTATGTAACCTATGATATTTTCTATGATGCTCCCAATGATGTTCTCTTTGATGCTCTCTATGATGATCCCTAAGATGCTCTCTATGATGCTCTCTATGATGATCCCTAAGATGTTCTCTATGATGCTCCCTATGATGATCCCTAAGATGTTCTCTATGATGATCCCTATGATGATCCCTAAGATGTTCTCTATGATGATCCCTATGATGTTCCTCGTGATGTTGTCTCTGATGTTCAATATAATGTTCCCCATGATATAAATTATGATACACATTCTGATGAACACGCTATGATGATCTCTCTGATGCTTCCCATGATATTTCCTATGGTGCTCCTTATGCTGATCCCTATGGTGTTTCCTATGTTGTTGCCAATGGTGCTCTTTATGATGTTTCCTATATGTTCCATGTCTAACTTGAAAACTATGTAATTTATTATTATATTATTATTATTATTATTATTATTATTATTATTATTATTATTATTATTATTATTATTATTATTATGATTATTATAGTCTATTATAATAGTCATAGGAAACCGCAAATTTAGCAAGGGTCATACAGCACTTGCTCAATAGGAGGTGATCAAGGTTAATCAAGGGAATGGAAAGTTAACTCCAATTCCTTGAACCAAGAGCCCATCGAATTGTGCATTGTGCAGTCAGATTTCTCTCTCTCTCTCTCTCTCTCTCTCTCTGTATATATATATATATATATATATATATATATATATATATATATATATATATATATATTTATATATATATATATATATATATATATATATATATATATATATATACGTATATTTATAAATACATATATATCGATCAATTAAAAATAAAAAAAATTCTGAATGTGGACGTACAAACAAGCTATCAAACAGACACAAACAAAATGTCTTTTATTTGTCCTTGTTTAACTCCTCTCAGAAATCTCTTCCAGACAAAATAAAAAATTCTGAATGCGGAATAGCTGTCGTATATACATTTTAAAATAATAAAATTTCAATTAACGGATTTCTAAAAAAACACTAAAACAAAAAAAGATAAGCCATTGAAGTGATAAGAAAATATTGAGGCCAGACTGTTACAGAATTTTCGAATCCCTAAATCAGAATTCCTGGGTTGAATTTTTGCCTCTCGCTCCAACTTTGAAATGAAGAGAGAAAAAGGAAGACTTTGAAAAGATTTCTGGTCGGAGACAGCAGCAGGCGGGTGAGGCGGCGACGGGAAGAAACTGGTTTCCCTCGAGCAGCGGGAAGAGAGACCAGTTTTCATCGACCAGCGGAAAGAAACCTGTTTCCCATCGAAAAGTCGTAGGAAACCGGCTCCTCTCGAGTAACGGGCAGAAACTTATTTTCTTGGAACAGAGGAAAGAAATCAGTTTCGTTCCAGCAGTGGGATGGAACCGGTTCTTATCGAGCAGTTGGTAGAAACCGGTTTTCCCCATGGGCTACGAAATGTTTCGTGAATTAGGGAAGGAAGCGGAAAGACTTGCATGTAAGGTGCCTAGAAAATTCTTCAAAAATCTACAACGTTCATAATGTATCAGGTAGAATTTAGAAGTCTTGCGATGTTTTGTTTGAACTGAAAAAGGTCGCCTTGGATCAAAACAATTTCTACAGGAACTGGAAAGGTCTTTGGGGGCACCTGGGCCATTCTTTTGTTACTGGAAGCCTTTGGAAACTATGAAGATCCTTAGTAACTTTAAGCTTCCAGAAACTAGTGAGGATCTTTGGTAACCGGAGACTTTCGTAAACTTCGCAGATATTCAAGAACCATTTCTTTAATATCCAAAAGTACTTGAATATCGAAAATTTATTTAAAGTGTTCTAAATGCTCTTACGGTGAGTCAGGAGGACTCTAAAGGCATTTAAAAAGGGTCTTCAGAAAAATGGGTACCTATCTGGTAAAAAGAAAAGTTCCACAAGACTACCATTAAGTTTTAAGTATATATACAATCTACCAAGCAATTCTCTCTTAATATTGCTTAGTACCTAGGTACACTTATTGGCACAATCCTTCCGGAACGAAGGATGGTGCCAGCAATCCTTTGTACCACTGAAATCTGGTAGGAAGACGCTAGTGGTAAAACAAAATTGTACTTTCGTTCTAGGAAGAGTTCTCTCTGGAGTGAAACAGATACCAAGTGTCAATAATAATTGTCAGTGATACATAGCTATGCAACGCTCCATCAAAATATTTCACTAGTAATTTCCATCTCTTCTAAATCACCGTCAGCTCGAAGCTGATTACATTGTCACGTATATATGTTCAGCTCCTCGGTCGTCAATTATCTTATATACTTCTAATTACATGGAACAAAACATGAGCAATTAATAATAATAATAATAATAATAATAATAATAATAATAATAATAATAATAATAATAATAATAATAATAATATAATAATAATAATAATAATAATAATAATAATAATAATAATAATAATAAAAAATAATAATAATAATAATAATATAATAATAATAATAATAATAATAATAATAATAATAATAATAATAATACTTCCTCTTGTGAATATTTTCCTTATTATAAAGCAACAGAAATAGTACTGAAAGTACGATAGTTCCGAGCCTCGAATAGTCACTGCCAGAAATATTTAATAATGGCTACAATTCTGAATCGTTTGTCATTGTCTATCTTAATCTTGCAACTATAGCTCTTCTAACTTCTGCGGAAACGTAGCATTTGCTTTCTCTCTCTCTTATCTTTCGATGGCAACTTCCTAATCTCCAACAGATACAAACTGATGCACGTTTTTACACACAAACTCACGTCACAAGCATGCAATCACACATCACCAGCACACAAATGTTGCACACATTACAGAGTAAGGAAGATACCGCGACTTACCGACTGATCTCCCACCTTCACCTGCAGAGATGCAGCTAATTTCATCTCAGAGGGAAAACATAGAGGAAATGTATAAATTATTGCTGAAAACTTTGACAACAAAACCGGACACGTTTCCCGTTATCACCAGTGACCTGTGGTCACGATAAGGTCAGACCGAAGCTTATCACTATGGGAGAGGGAGTTAGGTGGACTACACGTAACTATCACGGCACGAGGGTGGAGGGTGAGGGGAGGGGAATGAAGAGAGGATAGAAGTGGGAGACATCTACGGGAGTCTGGGGCTTATTGGGAGGGGTCATCTGGAATGACTGGCGACAACAGTTCTATATCCTGGCTTTTGGCTCACACATCACCATACCTGGCCTCGTTTCACTAGCCATGGCCCACGTTTCACTAGCTTTTGCTGGTCTGACATAAACGTCGTGCAGGGAACGTTTCAAGAAGCTGAAGTATAGCGTAGCCGACAAGCGATTAAAAGGCATACGGCAAAAGGAGACATTTATTAGTTCGACGATTCACCTACACGAGCATTGTCAAATAAAGGCTCATGTTAGTGGCACTGCGTGCTAATAAAGGTCTCCATTTACTGTATATGCCTTTTTTCCAACTTTTCAAAATCTAAGCTCCATGCTGGGTGGTGCAGTTGTGCATGGCGCTACCTGGCTTCCAGTCACTGAGCATCACTTGGTTTCCTAACTCTTCTGGGCCACTTCCGGCATGACACAAAACAACACCAACATACTATGCCACATATTACACTCTGGACCTAGTAACTCGGTGCCACGCTTTACATTTGTAAAATTTTGGGGCTGCCAAGTGCACTCCGTCTACAGAGGTCACACCTGCTACTCCGGACCATAGTTAATACTGGAGCGACGGAACTTGGGCTTTCATTGTCATTGTTTCACACCAGGCACTGTCCTGGTATATCTGGCACTGTCTTGACACACCCGGCATTGCCACAGACAGTGACACACAGTAGAGTCTTAACACTGGTAGTGATTCCCGAGAATGATAATGACATCCTGGGGCCGCGCACTGGTGGGAAGGAAGAAACGATCCTTATTGCTACATACTAAAAGGGAAGGGAAGCCCACTCACGACCATCCTCACTTTCACATGAGGAGCTGGAGCCAATTTACACCAGGAATCAAGTGTCCAGACACTGAGTATCACGTCAGTTTCTGCATGTGTGTGTGTATGTGTATGTGTGTGTGTGTGTGTGTGTGTGTGTGTGTGTGTGTGTGTGTGTGTGTGTGTGTGTGTGTGTGTGTGTGTGTGTGTGTGTGTGTGTGAGTGTGTGTGTGTGTGTGTCTGTGTGTGCTTATGTGTGGCTTCACGAGTGTTAACCCGGCTTCGCTGGGGCTCAGCTCAGCTGATAGTACTCCGGCGCGAAGTCATTGGCCAAGTTCGTCAGGAAATTGAAGTCGGAGGAATTGCTGTTTTCACTTGGCGCTGTGCTGCCGCTAGTACCGCCGCCACCGCCACCGCCACCTGCGCTACCGCCGCCCCCGCCACCACCGCCACTTTGTTCAAAAAAGTTAAAAGTGAAGTTAAGGTCGTGTTCGTGCTGCTGGTGGTGGTATTGTTGGTCCTGGTAAGCCACTGGTTCGTTCCCCGCCGTGGCTCCATTGGCACTGTTGTAGTAGCCGCCGCCCTGAGTCATATTGGCCATGTTGGCCATGTTGGCCGGATTATTTGCAGCCATTGTGTTCATCGCGGTGCCTTTCTCAGTGTGTTCGTAGCCGGTCGCGGCGCCACACATACCGTAAGAGTCGTAATACTGGTGAGCGGCAGCTTCACCCTGTCCGCTACATGCATACATGCCGCCGCTACTGTACATGTAGTTGTAGCCCGAGTATCCGTCACCGCACATCATGTTGTTGTTGTAGTAGTGACGGTTGTAGCTGTAGCCGTCCATACCATACCCTCCGTTGTACATATGCTGCCCCCGTTGTTGTTGCTGTTGTTGTTGGTGTTGCTGGGCACAAGTGTAGTCATACCCATGGGTGTTAGAGGCGCGGCTGTTGTTGGTAGGCATGAACTGCGGGGGCGTGGCGCGACCCATGCCTCTATACTGATCCACCCAAGAGCCTCGGTACGCCCCTGGGTATGACCCGGACACCCCACGACCCTTATTATCGGAGCCGGTGCCAGTACCTGGCCCAGAACCAGCCCCGGTACAGTAGGAGGAAAAAGTGGAACCTCTCCCTGCTGCCCCGCGGCCACCGCCGCTCCCACCGAACCCATGTAGGGTGATGGAGCTGGTGGTGGAAGCGGCGCCCGTAGTGGTGGTGGTAGCTGTTAGCGAGGCTGCCCTGGAAGAGGTAATGGGCGGGGTGGTGATTGATGGAGAGCCGGGCACTCCCCGTGCACCAGTCAGGTGGGCGGGAGAGGCAGTGGGCGTGGCTGGGGTGAGGGGTGGTGTGGCACGGGGTATGGGAGGGGTATTGAGGGGAGCAGTGTCCTGTGAACCCCCGTCTTTCATACCGATGCCGTCCCCGGTGAAACCCAGCGGACCCGGATACCTGAGGCTCGCTCCGTCCTCACACTTGACCTTGCTCGGATCCAGAGGGGAGACTGTGGAACAGGCACCCCGTGGCACCCCGGAGGTGGGCGGACCTCCAGAGCCGGCACTGGCACTAGGCAACGGCAAGCTGTCGTTGCTCTCCTCTTTTTTGACATCAGACGAACACATGCTGTCAGGCGAAGATGGCACCGACTTGGTGTTGTTGTTGGCGGCGTCGTCCACTCCGGAACGCTGGTCTCCGTCTCGCTTCTTGTCACTCTCGTCACTCTTAGTCATCGCCTGCCTCTTGTGTTTCATTCGTCGGTTTTGGAACCACACTTTCACCTGCGGGAAAACAACCAAAGTCAATTGGGCTCGATAAAAGCACTCACTTCCATATTATGGGCTAAGGTTAATGGGGATATACTGTGCTTCTACAGCGCAAACTTTCGTAGCCCTTAAACTCATCAACAATTCACACTTCTGCGGCACAAGACGTATTAGCCCTTAAATTCAACAACTGCACAACTCTTTAACGTATAGGAAAAAATGAAAAACAAACACAAATCAAGTGGGAGAAAGGTTTCCTGGACTAAACCAGGTAAATATTTTCTTTTCCAGAGAAGTACTTTAAAACCTTAGGAAGTAATATTAAACTAGGAAAATATATAAACATGTCACGTGAAAGTGTTTATAAAAGTTGATAATTGCTTTTAGAATTTTTATGTGTTTATGAAGCTTTAAGCTCTCTTTTACGATATTAAGTAGATTCAGGATTTTATTTAGGTTCACGAGTACTACATCTGACTCTGTCCACAGAGGCCACACCTGCCACTCATGGCCACAACTCTCACTGTCCACTGGCCATGGGACTGAACACTTTAAAAGTTACCTCTCCACTTAGATGAAGTATGACGTAGCCGACAAGTGATAAAAAGACACAGTAGTACGATGTTTCATCTACACGAGGCCTTATAGCGAGTACCTTCATAAAGCCTCTTGTAGGCTGCATGTCATTTTACGGCCTCTCCACTTATTACACTGTCTCCAGGATAAAAGTAGCCTCTGTATTCAACTGAAGTCGCCTGCTGCGCAGGTGAACATTTCATAAATGAAGAGACCCAAGTGCTACTCATGAATCTTACTCATCATCAAGTTATACCTGTTACTCTGGACTACAATTGACACTGTCCACCGAGGTCACACTTACTATTCTGGGACACAACTGACACTGTCCACAGAAGCTACATTCAGTGTGGCCACGCCGGGTCCACAAGTGGGCCAGACAGCCGCTCAAAAAACTAGTCTACAGCAGGCAGATGGAACCGGTCTCTTAGTCGTTCACTCTCACTGTTACTCCTACAGCATTGTCTAGCTACATACGTCACTGCCCTGGTACCCCGTCACTGCTTTGGCACATACAGGACTGTCCTAATGCCCCAGGCCCAGCATAAGGTCCTCCCTACATTTCCCTGGTAAACCCGTCACTGTCCTGGTACACTGTCACTGTCACTCAGCATTACCACAGGCAGTGAGACACAATAAGAATGGTAACAGTAGGAATGATAATAACAGAAATAGTAACAGCAGGACTCGTAACAGTAGGAATGGTAACAGCAGGAATGGTAGCAGTAGTAATGGTAATATCAGTACTCATAAGAGCAGGAATGGTACGTCAGCAATGGTAACAGTAGGAATTAAAATATGAAAGGACAAAGAGTCATTTCACCTGCACAGCCTGCACAGCACAGCCTGAACAGCACAGCCTGCACAGCACAGTCTGCACAGCACAGCCTGCACAGCACAGTCTGTACAGCAAAGTCTGCACAGCACAGTCTGCACAGCACAGCCTGAACAGCACAGCCTGTACAGCACAGCCTGCACAGTACAGTCTGCACAGCACAGCCTGCACAGCGCAGCCTGCACAGCACAGCCTGCACAGCACAGCCTGCACAGCACAGCCTCCACAGCACAGTCTGCACAGCACAGCCTGCACAGCACAGCCTGCACAGCAAAGTCTGCACAGCACAGCCTGCACAGCACATTCTGCACAGCACAGCCTGCACAGCACAGTCTGCACAGCACAGTCTGCACAGCACAGCCTGCACAGCGCAGCCTGCACAACACAGCTTGCACAGCATAGTCTGCCCAGCACAGCCTGCACAGCACAACCTGCACAGCACAGCCTGCACAGCACAGCCTGCACAGCACAGCCTGCACAGCACAACCTGCACAGCACAGCCTGCACAGCACAGTCTGCACAGCACAGCCTGCACAGCACAGCCTGCACAGCACAGCCTGCACAGTACACCTGCACAGGACACCTACGCACCACACCCTACACTGCTCAGGTGTGAGTTGTCACAGTTGCTTTTTGCTGATGACACTGTACTTTTGGGAGATTCTGAAGAGAAGTTGCAGTAGACAAGCTGAGAAAGTTGATTAATTGAGTTTATAGCCTATCAACTACTCAAAACGTCATAAAGACGGCATGTCTCTTGTTCACATCAATCAAGAATACGTTAATACCTAAAACAGAATTAAAGTAAACTTTCAGTGAGTATACTCTGATATATATACATCTCTCATTAAATATATCCTCAGATTGAAAAAAAATCGTCCAGTTTATCGGTAAATACCGCCAAAGATTCATAAAATATTTTCGGAAGAACTTGGTAATGAAAACAGTTTTTCTGTATCACTGAAAAACGAGTTTATAATTGTTAAAATACAGATCCTCCCCGACTTACGTCCCAGATCGGTTCAGTTCTTGAAATTTAAGGATGTGAGAATTATGTTAGCATGTCAAGTCGGTATACCTGTATAGTATTCTTTTAACCTAATAATTCTCTCTCTCTCTCTCTCTCTCTCTCTCTCTCTCTCTCTCTCTCTCTCTCTCTCTCTCTCTCTCTCCTACTCTCTCTCTCTTCTCTCTCTCTCTCTCTCTCTCTCTCTCTCTCTCTCTCTCTCTCTCTCTCTCTCTTGCTTTATTACCTTAAATTTCATTATTCACTAACTAATGTTCCTTACTTGTAGGTATCATTCATAAATTTTTTGTTATTTTATGCAATGCCTTCATTAAGGGGAGAGAGAGGGGGCTCTGATGTTTGTTAAGGGCTCTTGATCCAGAGAAAGAGACCTGAATTCCCTTTCCTCGGACGAAACCTGATTACTTCCTGTTCCCAAGTTGCTGCATGTTCGATACTGATATAGCGCTTACCCACGATTATTAGTAAAATTATGACCTATTGTTTCCCGGCTAATACAAAATGTACGATGTATAATACATTCTTTGATACAGAAATACATTATGTTGCAGACGCTGCGTGTACAGTGTTCCGCTTCATGTAAAATATACATCAGAAGAACACGTGAAAGATGTTTTTGAGGGTCAACCCCCCCCCCCCCGAGGTCCTGTCATAGATCAGGTGTCCTGTCGGATGAAGGCCTGATCAACCATGCTGTTGCTGCTGGCCGTCAAAAGTATTAAACATAGCCCGGCTGGTTAGGAATTAATTAGAGGAACTCATCTAGTTCCTTCTTGAAGACAGCCAGAGGTCTATTGGTAGTCTCCCGTGTGTATGAAAGAAGGTTGTTGTAAAGTCTTGGGCCCCTTACACTTGCAGCTTATACATATACCCTACTCGTATAACTGAAGATAAAACATATAAATATAGATAAAAATATACAATAAAAATTGTATTTACCTAGATGATGCAAATGTAGATTACAAGATGCTGCACGACTTAAGGACGGTTATACAAAGTATTTTTGGCAGATTTAAGATTAAACAAACCTAAAAATAATTAATAGCAAAACTGAGATTTTATTTGTGTGTGTTGTGTGTGTGTGTGTGTGTGTGTGTGTGTGGGTGTGTGTGTGTGTGGTGTGTGTGTGTGTGTATGTTGTGTGTGTGTATGTGTGTGTGTGTATGTGTGTTGTGTGTGTGTGTGTGTGTGTGTGTGTGTGTGTGTGTGTGTGTGTTGTGTGTGTGTGTGTGTGTGTGTGTGTTGTGTGTGTGTGTGTGTGTGTGTGTGTGGTGTGTGTATGTGTGTGTGTGTGTGTGTGTGTGTGTGTATGTGTGTGTGTGTGTGTGTGTGTGTGTGTGTGTGTGTGTGTGTGTTGTGTGTGTGTGTGTATGTGTGTGTGTGTATGTGTGTGTGTGTTGTGTGTGTGTGTGTGTGTTGTGATGGTGTGTGTTGTGGTAGTGTGTGTGTGTGTATGTGTGTGTGTGTGTGTGTGTGTGTGTGTGTGTGTGTGTGTGTGTGTATGTGTGTGTGTGTGTGTGTGTGTGTGTGTGTTGTGTTGTATGTGTGTGTGTGTATGTGTGTTGTGGTGTGTGTGTGTGTGTGTGTGTGTGTGTGGTGGTGTGTTGTGTTATGGGTGTGGTGTGTGTGTGTGTGTGTGTGTGATGTTTGTGTGTATGTGGTGTAATGTGTGTGTGTGTTGTTGTGTTGGTTGTGATGTGTTGTGTGTGTTGTCATAGAATAAATAAGACATATGCATACATGCAACACGGATAAACATACAGATAAAACATGAATGAATCATATAGTTAAAACACGAATATAACTTATAGATGGATTCAGATAAAAAATATACATAAAACATAAGGACCTATGCACAGCGAGTCCAAGTCTCGTAGTGGATGTCTCGCAGTGGATGTCTCGCAGTGGATGTCTCACAGTGGATGTATCGTAGTGAATATGTACCGAGATTATCTCATTCCTATTTTAGGATACAAGTTTTCTTTAGTTGTGAAAAAATGTCTTAATGATCATCGTGTAGTCGACAGGCTTTTAGCTCAATTAACTAACCAACCAATATAAAACGCAGATAAAACGTAGAGATAAAACGCTGACAACACACATAACTAGTAAGCTTGAACAGAAATATAGCCTGAGAACTGAGGGAGAAACCAGACTAAATAAAATGAATCTACACAGTCATGAGACAATTCCTCGATGCAGTGAAATGGGAAAGACAATTAAAAGTAAAGACAACGTATGTAATGCTGGCGTATGTAACTGGAACGTGACGGAAGGCACAGGGAAAATTCGAACCCAGGAATATAAAAAGCAATTAGAAGAGCAGAGTGAGCCTATAGTTCACCCAGTGTTGCAGAGAGGCAGAAGATAAACGTCTATAAGCATGAAAAAATATAAAATGCAAAGGACAGAATAAAATAAGGATGCGAGCAGTAGTCAGGAACGTATACGTATGGGTATGACGAGAGACTGAGCGACATTTCTAGAGTGACATGAAAGTGTAAGCCAAATCTGAATCAAAGTTGCTAGATAATGGCATAAGAAGAAAGAAGACAGTAAAAGAAACACTGGCTAATAAGACTGGTGAAGAAATTGGTAGAGCTCACAGGAAATAATCAGGAACGTTACGAGGAGCTGAACGAAATTTTAACCTGTTCTGGTTGTTGCTGACAAACCTGCTCCACCACCTTCCTGAATCTTCTTTCCAAAACCTTACATACTATACATGTCAGTGACACTACCCTGTAGTTCAGTGCTTCCTGTTTGTTGCCTGTCTCAAATATTAGGACTTCGTTTGTTGTATTTCATATCTCTTGCCATTGCCCTGTTCTAATTGACTTATTGAAGCTTGTGGCTAGAGGTTCAAATAAAGGTTTTGCTTCCTCTTTCAGGACCCAGAGAGAGAGAGAGAGAGATATTATCTACTGCAATTACCTTCCAGGTGTCTAGCGCAATCAGTAGTTTTTTCATATCATCTGTTGTGTGCATTACGTCCAGTACTAGATGATGTATTCATTCTTTTTGACTCTCTCGTACTGCTTCCGTTTCCTCCGAGAACACTCCCTTAAGAGACGGGAAATCTTGTCTCACAAGCCTCTACCTTGTTTTACGGGGTAATAAAGTGAAGCAGAAGAGAGAATTCATAAACTAAATTTTGGATTGCAAAAACCTTTCACAATAGTCCTAGACTGGCAAAAACTTGAGACGGGCAAGATACGGGGAAAGGCACATAGAACAAAGGGTACTTACAGAAGGGACAGTGATACTTGTAGTTTACCGTAACGATCCCATATTGTTTTCTCGATGTGAAGATATTCGGAAGTAAAAATCCGTTCCATGTTCTCTGATGATGTTAACTTTTGATGAAGCAAAATTTGGGGGGAGGACTAAGAAGAGCAAACTTGGATTTGGACAAACGACAATAATGGCCAGACAAGTTCTGGGGAACTCAACCCGAATGGTTTTGCAAATCAACCCGAAAACTAAACAGGGGCCTCAACAGTCATTCACGACCTTTTTTCAC